TTATTTTTCATTCTTCAGTTTCTCTCTTCTTTCTTCTGATTTATTTCTAGATTTCTGTCTTCGATAACACTGACCCTTTCCTCTATTTGGTCGACTCTGTTTCCCAAGCTTGCTATTTCATTTTTCAACTCTTGCAGTGTTTTTTTTTTTTTTTTTAAATCTCCAGAAGATTTATTCTGTTCTTTTTGAGGGTTTCAATCTCCTTGCTCTGCTCGTCTAGTAGTTTTTTCAATTTCCGAAATTGTTGACACGATCATTTTGGATCTCACTGAGCTTTTTCAGAAGTACCATCCTGAATTCTCTGTCATTTACAGTGCATATTTCTTATCTGTAAGCTTATTTTCTGGAGATTTTTCTTTTTCTTTCTGAGATGCTTTGTCATCTTGGTTGTTCATGGTGTTTAATGGACTATTTCTCTGCCTGGGCATTAATGGAAGTGTATTCTGCTGTTTTTCCAGAAAGAAGATTGAGTATATAAAGGTCTCTCTATAGCCTGTTGTAAAGAAGGTGCTTTTCTTTTGGTTTCCGGTCAGTGGTGTCTAAGCCTCTTGGATCCATGCTTTACATAAAGCTTTAAAAATGCCTTTTTATTTTCTGATAGATATTTAATCGTGCTTGCTACCCTCAGTTTCAGTCCCTGTCAGTGTTAGCAACAGTTTTGGTAGCATTTGCTCAGATTCCCCTGGGGCTCTACGGTGGTCCATATGGGAGGGTATGGGGGGAAGGGCTCTTTGGGTTGGGAGTTGGGGGCCGCAGCTCAGTCTTGGTTTTGCAACCAAGGTTGGTAAAAATTAACTGTTGTTTCTCTGCTGGCCGCATCTATGCTTTCTGCCCTGATGACTGGGCCCTGCTGCTGGCCACGGGGAGCTCACAACTTTCCCAGGCAGAGCTATTCAGGGAACTCGCCGCTCCTTCTCCCCTCCCCCTCCTCCTGCAAGTAGCTCTGGCGGCTGCGAGAGGCAGCTTCTTTATTTCTCCCAGTCCACCGCAGGATACCTGAGGTTCTGACCTGTGGTAGCTCTTATGCGCAGATCCCACTCTCAGACATGCTGGTGTGAAGTTTTGGTGTTTTTTGTTGAGTTTTAGATGTTCACCTTATTGTTGTTTCAAGGGGAGAGATCTGGGGATGTCTCTCACTCTGCCACGTTTCCAAAAGTTTCACTAGATAGCAATTTAACACTTGGATGCAACTATGCTGTCTTTGGAGTAGAAAGAAGTGAGTTATTTTATAGTTAGAATCCTTGTGATGTTGGAGTGTCCCTAATGTTATTATTCATCTTTTTATTAAATGTGGCTGCTACTCCTTTTTTCACCATCTGGGCTTCGAATAACAATAATCACCATAAATATGAGAGATTAAGTTTGTATCCCAGACTGAGCAATTCACTTAGAGAGCTGAAGTTGTTCAAGGATAATGTATACAAGACATGTCAGTATTGCCGAATGAAAATGAACTGTGTGGTTTTCATTCACTGCAAAACTTGCCTTTCAGGTCACATTTCCACAAAGACCATCCACTTTATGAAACAATTCTTCCTTCCGATGCATGTATTTATGTCAGAATCCAAACAAATTTTTTCACGCTTTAGTAGGTTTGGAACTCCTTGTTAAAATTGAAGGTGTTGGCCCCATGATGTAATAGGTTGCCCCAAACTCCTTGAAGGTGTTTGCCCCATGATGTAATAGGTTACGTTCTTTTCAATAAGGGGGAAATAAGGCAGAAGGCTGAAAAAATGTGCTGTCATGAAGTCCTTTTTATTCTCTCCCCAAATTTTGTACATTTCGACAAACCTGTTTTACTAAAGTGCCTGGGTGCTGAGGCGGAGGAGATGAGCTGCACAAAGCAGATGAATAAAGGAAAATGCTCCTTTTCAGAAGATACCTGAAAGGGTGAGGAGAATAGATAGAACGAGGAGTGCCAAGGGGTTTTGCAATACTAGGTTTTGCCTGAAATGAGATTGGAAGGAAGCTCGGAGACGAAAGATTTGGTGCGCATCATGTCTTGGAAGCATTATAAAAGGAATGTTTTATAAAGGAGAAATCATTAAAAGGATTCACACATTCATTTGCATGAATTAGCAAACCCGAGAGAGTGTCTGAAATGTTTTGCAAGTGCTGGCCTGAAATGAAGGCCACTGATTTCCCCACGACATCAGACATCAGTGCGAACTGAGCAGAGTTAAATGAACAAACCTTTCCAGCCAGTGTTGAAAGGTCGTAGCCTCCAATTATCTGCATCTCGCCCATGGACTGGTCATTCTAAAAAAAAAAAAGAGAGAGAGAGAAGCCAACATTTTACTGTACAGGAAAACCTGTAGAGTGCAGTTTCTCATCTATCCAGCTAGTGGCTAGCTTGTATCTTACAAATACAGCACAAATAGCTAATCCAGGTTCATGGTTGCCTATGGTTACCAAGAGCCACTCTCCTGCTTTCAGTCCTTGAGACAAAGCATTCTAAGGGCCGGGTGGGAGAGACTGTGTGGAGAGGGGATGGAAGGAGCAGAGGGAGGACAAACAAACCTAATTTAGGCACGAAAAACTGTGGAAGGTGCCTGAATCTCTCCTGAGGCAGATTGAATTGGAGAAGACAGTCACATTCTTGGACTTCTCTAGGGTGGAGGGGGTCATGGGAGCCCCAAGCAGGGGCCAATTTATTTGTCAGCTGTGCCGACGTGCCCTAGTCATAGTTCTACAGTCAGGAGTAATTAGGCCGTGGTTCCCAGAGAGATCAGAGGCCACCTCTACTCCCTACCAGCACAGGCCCTGTCCCTCGCCTGATGTCCAGGGCGATTCTTACAGGCCATGGATCAAGAACTACTACATTTAAACAAAGCCTCAGGAACTTTCTGCAGTTGCAGGAATATGAGACCCAGGATCCCGTTCAGAAGACTTTTCACTCAGATCCCTTTAGAGGTTATAAGAATCCACTTTCACAAATGTTTATGCATGGTACATCATCCTGTACTAATTAAACCTCTCTCTCTCTCTCACACACACACACACACACACACACTAAACAAAATGTAGGTCCTCCCTTAGTGAATAGCACAACTGAATAACAGGGACACAAAACAGGAAACAGAGCAGGCAAGTCATTTTGTGGCCTCATTTTAGAGACGCATTCGCAGAACTGAAGCAGATATCCCACAGGCCATCAGCTTGTGACCAAGCGATACTGCCGTGATGTCACAACTCCTTGATGCAAACAGTATCCCAAGGGAGAAGACGACAATACAGGCACCATATATGCGGTGTGCGGAACCAGCAAACAGCTTTAGTTACTGCTGTGGACAGCTGGGGCTTTTGCCACTTCAGCACTTTCTTCCCTCATCCTGGCAAGAAGGCCCTGCCTCTTTCTGGGTGGAGTTCACGCCATATGAATCAGATAGAGTTTGTCATAGAAATCAGCCAAACAGTAAATATAATAGTTTTACCAACGAAGCAGTTTTGTCTTTTTACTTTATCTTTAAGGGGGTGGGGAGGTGGGGGAATGATCTTAAAATGTTTCTTCCTCCATTTGGTAAAGCATTCACCCCTCACTCCTTAAACAAAGAAGTGGAGAGAATGCTTGAAAGTAGCCCACTATGTTAGATGAAACCAGTCATTTTTTTCTTGTGGAAACTGATCTCAAAAGGAGAAAATCAAAGAACACCCAGACTTCCTCGATCTTTGGCCGCTTTCGTATATGCATATATAATCATATATTAACAAGCGGTCATGTCAGTAGGTTAAGAACTTGTCAAAAATGTCAAAGGAAAATTTCTTCTTGTCACTTCTGGAGGTTCTGGGACACAGGAGTTAACAAACGGAGAACTTCTGCATATTAGACTCAAATATGTTGTTAATAGCAGCAGGAAAAATACAAATTTCAGTACCTCCAGAGGACTGAAGTATGCAGAATTGGATACAACTATGAAACCACAAAGTTTAATGTAAAAAATGAGATTTACACTCTGCCAGATCAGAGTAAATTTCACAATAAAACTTCTGTTATCATCTCCATTCTATTGATTAAAAACACGATACGTCAGAAAGTTAAGTAATGAGCTGTGAGTCACACGGTACTGTGTTCCAAGGAAGTCTTATTTCAGAAGGTCTTACTTAGTCCAAGTTCATAACGTAGTTTTAGTATAATCTGGAACTTATATCTTCCAAATCTGTATATAGTCTATTGTCCCAATACCTGTCATTGATTTATTTTTTTCCCTACTGATTTGAAATGTCATTTTTATTTTATCTTTCATTCTCATATGTGAAGATCAATTTTTATATATTTTTTGTTTCATTAACCTAAAACGTTTTGGAATCTGGTGGAGCAAGTCCCACTTTTCTGTTATTTTTAGAAATTGTCTTGACTACTTTTTTTGCATTTATTTATCTATCTGGTGGGTTGTTATGAAGAGCAAATGAATTAAGATGTACAGAACATTTAGAACAGACTGGCACATGGTGAACATTCAGTAAATGTTAGATATAATTGATTTTTCTCCCTCTGTCCCTCCATCCTTCCCTCTGTCCCTCCTTTATTTTTCGGCAATGGTCTCCCCAGTCCTTCCTGGTGCACTGGAGTCTGGGGCTCCCCTTGTTTCATGACTCCAGAGAACAAGCCTTTGTCTCTTGCTGGGATGGGGGAGGGAACTTAGAGGTCCAACTTCTCCATTCATATGCTTTCCAGCACCTCGCTGCTTTCAGCCCATTCGTCCCTCACTCCGTCTTCTAAGAACCTGGTGAGCCCAACTTATGAGCCTTTCAGGAATTCCGGCGCAGGAATCCTCTCCATCTCATGAACATTTCCCTCCATAGGCACTTAGATTTTCACTTTCTCTATGTGGCTGTCAGTGCCCTTCCTTAGTAAGTTTGGCCTCTTAAAAAACACGGGGTCTTCTCCCCATCCTCTTTGTCCGTGTGTGTGTGTGTGTGTGTGTGTGTGTGTGTGTGTGTGTGTGTTTATGTCTTTGCCATAGTTTCAGTGGGGTTTCAGGAGAGAATAGAGTTAATTATATGCATTCAATCCACTGTGTTCAAACATGCTATTTTTCTAATGGTTCAAACACATTCTTATATTCTTAGAATTTATGTATTTTTTAAATGTCATTGGTTTTAATTCGATAATATTTCATTTGGGATTATTCATCTTATCTTCATAAGTAAGATTGACCTATAGTTCTAAAGCAAAGTGATACTAGCCTCAATCATGTGGTTCTTTACCTTTTTTCTATGCTCTAGAAGAGTTTGCATATGAATGAATTTATCTGTTTTCCTAAGGTTCAGTAGAGCTCAGGAAAGGTATTATAAATTCCCAATTTATAGATGAGGAATCTGAAGCAATAAGAGTTTAAGTAACTTGCCCAATGAGATAGATGTGGCTAGTAAGTGAAAGAATTCAGTTCAATCCTAAAATTGCCTGGCTCCATACTATTCTAGTGGAACCTCCATCTCCCAATATTCCTAGGAGAAAGAAGCACATAGTACACCTTTGAGAGTAACAGGGAGAAAGAGTGAGTCCTGGTTGTACTGATGAAGTAGATACGTGAGCTAAAATATCTAGGTGAAATTAGTATCTTGGTAGAAATGTTGGTAGAGGTGCTGTGGGTTTACTTAAGTAGTAAAGGAAATCTCTGATATTGAGTCTGGGCATCCGTGGAAGAAATATTTTGGAAATTATACCAGCTTAGATGACTGATCTCCAGGTACAAAAAAAGAGCACACCCAACAGGCCAGCAGGTGTGGTGATTCCTCCCGCAGAGAATTTAGACTGCTTAGATAATGTTTAGAAGAAAACATAACTGAGGAAGAATAAATATCCTGAATTCCTGTCCTTTTGAGGAACTGGAAGAGGAAAAATCAAGAAAACAAACAAAGAACCACTCTCTCAGCTGTTTATTTCCAAAGTCAGTGCAACTTGTTTCAAAATCTATACACACAAAAGCTTTCTCGATATATCAGCCTCCACAGATGCCTTAACTTAGCTTCCCCCTCCCACTTTCAGTCTAATCCTTCCTCTCAGCTATTCTCTTGTGCTTAATAAGGTCATCTAGATTATAAAAAATGGATGGAAATGCAAAACCAACCCCCAAACAGTTCCTTATATGAACTTTTAAACATCAAACTGGAGAGCTTCTAATGAAAATGTGACAAATGGCTGAAAAAAAATTTTTAAGTCTAACATTTGATACCAAGTCAGATTACAAGGATATGTGATTGGTTCCAGTATCCCCTGTTTTCTTTTCAACCACTGGTTGATGTAGGACATGACTCTTAACTGGGTCCCTCAGTCCTTTAAGCTGCCTGGGGCCAAAGCGGAGAAGGCGCAGTGCAGTCAGAGCTGGTGCGGTTTTTATGCTTCAACCAGACCAGCGCCACTTGTCTCTGTTATATCGCTGGATTCAAAGTAAGATGACGGGGGCAAAAAAATTTGAAAACTGTCATGTTAATGTTGTCCTTCCTTGAAATTGATGGATTTTTTTTTGGTTACTTGTTCATTTAAATACTCATTTTCTTCTGAGATTGTTGTTGTTTAGAAACTCATTCTTACAACCTATGTGGGGTGAGTAGTGAGGAAGGAGAATACAGAGACTTAAGTGAACAGGCAGCTAGTGTCCCCTATGCTCAGAGACCTGAGTTCCAGTCACAGCTCCACCTTCTGTTGGTTATAGGACCTTGAGGAAGTCACTTCACCTCTGTCTGCTTCATTTTCCCTATCTCTAAGGAGAGTATATTAATAGTTCCTATTTATAGGATTACTGAGAGGACTAAAAGAATAAATATGCATTAAGCATTTAGAAAAGTGCCTGGCAGGTAGTAATAAACAGAACATAAAGTAGCCTCTGTCTTCTCACCTGCTACGTCCACCTGAGTTTCCTCACATTGGCTGTGATGTCGTCTTTGTTTAGCTCACTCAGCACATTACTAATATGTGTATGCCACGTGCTCTGTGGTTAGGGCTCAGCTGAGGCTGACAACTGCCCGTGAGGCATGTGGTTAAGAAAGACTCACGTCCTTGCATTGCCATTCTGTATCGTGGTGAGAGCCTTGGTTAAAAAGGACCTCATTTGTGTGTTCCTTTGGGGTTCCTTTGTGACTCCCCAATTCCTACGCTGTGCTTTCTGGAGCTTTAAAGTGGACAATTTGGTGGGCATACATTCCATCATTCCACTTGGCTGTTTTCATCCTTTTCCTCACTAGACAGAAGATACCTAGAGATCATGCTCTGACCCACTTTTGTATCTATGATCTCTTGTCGGATCCTTGTTGGTTAT